ATAAATATGTGAGAGGACGTCATAGGGAGGAGGGAGCAAGCTTGTTTTCTGCTTCCCTGGAGCCTAGGATATGGAACAATGGCTTCAAACTACAAGAAAGGAGATTCCAACTGGATTTCCCTCAAGCATCTGACTGCTCCCCTTGTGAATGTCTGGGTTTTTTTTTTACTGTATCACTCAATGCTTGCAAAAATTATTCTTGTTGTACTACCACTCCAGAATTCCTCAGCCAGCATTCTGGTTGGGGGATTCTGGGATATACCATCCAAAAAGTAACATCTGAGAATTCTGCAAGCAGCAATGGCCTTCAGAGTCTAAACTGAAAGTAGAAGGAATGAAGAAATAGTGGTAATGGAAAACAGAAGTGAAGTTTATTGTTACTCCTTGCCTCTCTTTTAATCCTTTACCTATAATGTTCAGAGATTCCACCTGAACATTAGGAAGAACTTCCTGACTGTGAGAGCTATTCAGCAGTGGAACTCTCTGCCCCGGAGTGTGATGGAAGCTCCTTCTTTGGAAGCTTTTAAACAGAGTTTGGATGGCCATCTGTCGGGGGTGCCTTGAATGCAATTTTCCTGCTTCTTGGCAGGGGGTTGGACTGGATGGCCCATGAGGTCTCTTCCAACTCTATGATTGTATGAGTGGGCCAGGGGAAATTTAAACAGGGGGCACAATTGGCCAAACTTTGGACATGCCTGATCCAGAGAGTTTGAAATTGCCTAGTTGCAGTACTAAACGTAATCAACCCAGCATTCGGTGCATCTTAGTCAACCTAACTGCAAGAATAATTCTCTAGGAAGCAGTCTCTTTGTTGGGAACCATTTTCATCAGTATCAGCTTAGAAGAAGAAGAAGAAGAAGAAGAAGAAGAAGAAGAAGGGGGAGTTTAAAAGCTCAGACACTCACATTTGACAGTTCCCCTGTTGCAGAGAGGCTTAGTGCAACACATCGCAGCTCTCCGTTTGCGCTGAGAAGGAAAAGTAAAGGTCGTGGAAGGTGGGAAACAGTAGCTTTTCCTGGTGCAACCTTTGTATGTGGACATCCATCTTTCATTCCCTGGGATTTCCATAGAAGAACAACAACAGCATCAGCATACATGTAGTCTAGCCATTCCCTCCACATTTGCAGGTTAAGCATTTGGTTACTCGTAGTTCATTGTATTTGTCACTTGTATTGCTGCCCTACATGACACTGAAAGAAAATACGTAGAAATGCTCTGTTCCATCTCCCACAAATCTATGTCCTCATACAAAGACATATGTATCTTCTGATAGCCTAGACCTGTGTTTCTAAGTGAATTCTGTCCATTATTATTAATATTACTATTAATACTATTATTATTATTATTGTGTGCTTTATCAGAAACACGAGGATGCTTACTAGAAGTGTGCATTTTTCATTAGTCCTCATAAGTCATATCAGATTTGTGGGAGCCCCCAGTGGCGCAGAGGGTTAAAGCCCTATGACGGCAGGACTGAAGACCGACAGGTCGCAGGTTCGAATCCGGGGAAAGGCAGATGAGCTCCCTCTATCAGCTCCAGCTTCTCATGCGGGGACATGAGAGAAGCCTCCCACAAGGATGATAAAAACATCAAATCATCGGGGTGTCCCCTGGGCAACATCCTTGCAGACGGCCAATTCTCTCACACAGATTATGAGAGTTAAAACTCAGAGTATCTGGAGGACAGCTACTAGGGATGTGCAATTTTTCGTTAGTCATCATAAGTCACACCAAATTCGTAAAATTTGCACTTACAATGCGATATCCGACACATGGGCATGGCTCATCCAAAAACTTAAAAGTCTTACCCAATACGTTTTCATTTGCATTTTGTAAATTTCAGAAGCCTCCCAAAAGTCAGTTTTATTTTCAGCACAAGGAAGCAAAGCAAAGCCAAAAAGTATGCCTCTTTAAATTAATGGCCTCTTACCATTAATGGCTCCTCACCTCTCACTGTTAGGAGAGGGGAAACCGAGCAGAGTTCATTGGGAAAGAAAACACAGAACTCTGGGAAATGTAGTTTGGGAAGGCAAGGAGCCCTATGGCAGAGAATGTAAAAAGCCCTGCCCTAAACTACAGTTTTCTGAATCAGCACCCCAAATAACTAAACTGAATCTAAAGTTCACCAAAAACTGATTTGTAACCCTTTTGGAACTAATGTTGGAAAGTGGTCCCTGGCCAAGTGGTCCCTGGTTAAGTAGTCCCTGGTTAAGTAGTCCCTGCTCCAAGTGATCCTTACTTTGGAAACACTTTAGAAAGACTTTAGAAACATATAAATTGTAATTAGTCTCTCTGTCTTCTCATAATAATTACATCATGTCCATCTAGGGGTTTTTTTTTTTTTGAAAAAAATGTCTAGTAAAGTCCAATCTGTAGGGCATTTGTATGCAAATTTATATGCAAGAGATCAATTTCCCAGACAGGAAAAGAATTCAGAAGTCAACAGGAAAGTTTTATTTTTATTTTTACATATTTTTTACTATTTTTTCCTTTTTTTCTTTTTCTTTTCAATAAACTTTTTTTTCCTTTTTTCCCCATTTTTATCCAATTTTTTAAAACCTTTCCTCCCCTACCCCCCCCCACCCCCTCAACCCACTCCAATCTCCATTAGTAGGAAAACTTCCATACCCCTTTAACCATAGCTAACCATAGTTTGCATGCATAATTATGCTTTACCACAATATATCTAATAAATGCAATGACATTTTTATATAGGTCCAGAGCATCACAACCTACTCCTTTCTGTTCTCACAGAAGATAGTGGCACCTAGAGAAGCTCCCTTCTCAAAGATTTTAGATCTTCAATTGGCTTACCAAGGAAGAGATGGTCTTCAGATAGCCTAGACCTGTGCCATACCTACCTAATAAATATTCTGTAGTGACGATGAGACAATGCTTTTGTTTCTTTGGGCAAGAATATGGTGGCCCTGAACATGTGGAATTGGTGCTGCTACAGCGTTCACACAGCAAGCAAAAACCTAGATTGGAGAAACAGCCAAATAATAATATGAAGAACTAAGGTCAGTTCCATCTTCTTCATTCTTGAGTAAGATTACTCCTCTGTCACATCATGTTGTTGCCAACCTCTCAATCTATCTATGTATATAATAAAAGTCAGTGTTTGTATGCGGAGGACGGGAGGTGTATGTGGCAGCGTTCTGATTGGCTGCCACTGTGGTACAATTTGCATATGGTCTCTGATTGGCCAACCTCAACATTCCGAGGTAGCAGAGGGAATAGGAAAGGGGCCTGAAGCTGTCAGGAATGGTTGGAGTTGAAGTCCAAAACACCTTGTGGCCCCCAACAATGACAGAACAAGACCAAACCTGGCACACAGACCCCCCCCCCCAAGACCCACTCTACATTCTGGTGCAGTTTCGAGGATGGACCATGGATGACGGGACTTGCAGTACTTTAACTCACTTCCTTAGAGTACTGTGGCCCACACCAAGGATGGATCAGGACCAAACTTGGCAAATACACAGAGGCCCAATGGCCCACTTTACAACCTGGTGCAGTTTAGGGCAGGATGGCCCACGAATGATGGGATTAGCAGTACCTTCACCCGATTCCTTTCCCACAGAACACTGCAGCCCCTACAAATCATAGACCAGGACCAAACTTGGCACACAGAGCCCCCATGACCCACTCTACATCCTGCTGCAGTTTGAAGGAGGATGGATTTTGGATGATGGGACTTGCAGTACCTTCACTCACTTACTGAAACCACTGCCACCCTCATCCAATGACTGATAAAGACCAAACTTGGCACACAGAGCCCCCATGACCCACTCTATATCCTGCTGCTGTTTGGAGGAGGGTGGACCATGGATGATGGGACTTCAAGTACCTTCACTCACTTACTGAAAAGACCAAACTTGGCATACATAACCGCCATTACCCACTTTCTCTAATAACCCGGGTAGCGCCAGGTCCCCAAGCTAATCTCTTATAAAGTACAGGCTTCTTTGGAAATAGCAGAGCTATAGCAGAACTCCAATACACATAACTCCTTATGACGGGGTTCTGGTTAAGGGATTCTAGGAGCTGGACTCCCCAACATTCATTTTTCGAAGTTCTGGATGGGAGTAATGGTGGTCTTAACTCAAAAAAACTGGAAGGCTAAACTGGAAAGCATTGTCCTAGTCCTAAGACATGGTGGGCTTAGTAATGCATTGGCTCTCTCTAGCCCTCTCGGTGGTTTCTCTGTTGAGGGCTACTGCAGTTGACTTTAACATTCGAAGTCCAAATATCAGGAATAATCCACAGAAATCAAAGTACAGGAGTAACATCAAAAACCAGGAATACAAAACCAGAATAAATCCAAGACATGAGATTCAGGAACAGTCCTCAAAACTTGGAATCATGAGACATGAACAAAAGGAAACATAGAACATGGAACTAGAAATCCCTTGAATAGACAATAGATTTATACTCAAACATCAATGTTGCCTGGACTGAAGTACCCATCTACTGGGCTAGCTAATACAGCAACAGACTTTTGTATTCTGGTGTGGGTGGTGTCTTCTCTTCTTCTAAGATCAAAAAAGTGAACCCCCCTCCTCCTCCTCTTCTTCCTTTTCGTATTCTTTTTCATCACTATTTCATTTGAGTTGATGTGGCTTTAGTTCTGTCATTATTATCCCTACCACCACTACTATTGCCTGTACCAACTGCTGCAAACTGAAGCAGAGGAAACTCCAAAGTTTTCAGATGGATAATTCATGTGTACTGCCTATCCCTCACCTAAAGGATTATATTCTACTAGCCGTCCCCTGCCATGCATTGCTGTGGCCCAAACTGTTTATATGTGCTTTGTGTGTCTATATGTGTGTATATATTTGTGTATATGTGTATGTGTGTGTTTGCATATATATATATGTGGTTTTGTGCATGTGTTGTAAGATTTTGTTTTTTTTTTTAAGTCTCTTCTGCTGTGTTTTTCAGTGTTTTTCTGAGTGATGGTCACTTGTTGGCCTGATAGGTGTATTGTGTCCAAATTTGGTGTCAATTCTTCCAGTGGTTTTTGAGTTATGTTAATCCCACAAATGAACATTACATTTTTATTTATATAGATGGACTTACCTGTAGCAAGCAGGGAAAGGAAACAGATCAGCGATGTCAGCATAGTCTTGAGAACATATCAGAAAAAGAAAGGAAAATTGGGGCTTAGGTAGCATCTGCAGAAGAGGTATCTAATTTGGTCTAAGTTAGTAGAGCAGTGGTTCTCAACCTGTGGGTCCCTGGGTTTTGGCCTTCAACTCCCAGAAATCCTAACAGTTGGAATCTAGCTGGGATTTCTGGGAGTTGTAGGCCAAAACACCCAGGGACCCACAGGTTGAGAATCACTCCAGTAGAGTGTCTATCCTGGAACAGCAATTTTTAAAAAAGAATAGTGCAAGACGCTGAATATTATCCTTTAAAATACGCCTGGTACCTTGGATAGCTCCCCAGAGTACTAATCTTATTCCCATGTCTAGACAGGATAACAGGGTGAAGGGAGAGCAGAAAAGGGATTGCATAATATATCTGGAAGGATGAACACCATTTAAAATTATTTTCCCTTAGATAGATAGATAGATGGATGGATGGATGGATGGATAGAGAGAGAGAGAGAGAGAGAGAGAGAGAGAGAGAGAGAGAGATAGATAGATTTGGAATTCTAAATACAATTTTATTTTTTGATTGGTATTCATTTTTAATCTTTACACAGTGGAGGCTTTAAAGAGTAGTGCAAAAAATGCCTTCCAAAATTAACTATCATGAGTACATTGTGATTTTCCTCTTTTTGAATGCATTTTGACATTGTTCATGCTTAAGATAAAAGTTTCTCCTTGACATTAAGTCTAATTGAGTCCAATTGGGGAGCAGTGCTCATCTCCATTTCTAAGAGTCGGCATCATCCATCGACACTTCCAAGGTCATGTCACTGTCATGACTGCATGGAGCCCTGTTACCTTCTTGGAGTTATCTCATTTATATGGCCATTATAAATGAGGGTTGAATGAAAAGTAATGCCTCCACCTTGGTAACTCCTCAACAGATGGCAGTTACTGGTATGCGGCAGGTACTGGCTTGTTCAATAGACTCTCCTCTACAGTTCCATTTTGGTAGGAAGCCTTAGCATTGAATGGTTATGTTGTTAAAGTGTGAAGTATGGAACCATGCGCAGATGGTCGATCAATGCCATCTAGTCATTGAATTCTTGACAGCAGAAGGTGTCACCCCAAAGGAGATTCATCAGAGAATGCAAGAAGCTGTTTATGGTGATTGTGTTGATGTGAGTACTGTGCGTTGTTGGGCAAGTTTAAAGATGTTGAGGTGGGAACATCTGACTTGCATAACAAATAAAGAGTTGGATGTCCTGTGACAGCAACCGCCAAGTTTCACAAGCAAAAGGTTGACAGATTGATTCAGGATGATCGTCGTGTCACTCAGAGAGAAATTTCAAGCATAACTGGCATTTCACAAGAACATGTGGGTCGCATTATTGCTTTGCTTAGCTATCAGAAGATCTGTGCACGATGGGTACCCAGGATGAGAGAAGTGTGAGACAGCTGGTTGCGGAAACAGAGTGTCAACTTCTTCCGTGAAGGCTTCAGAAAACTTGTTCATCGTTGGCAGAAATGTATCTAATTGTCTGGTGATTATGTGGAAAAGTGAATAGTGATGGTTAAAGAGTACATTCTAAGGATTATATCTGCGTTTGATTTATTAAAATATTCCCATCCAAACCCAAGTAACGACGATGGAGGCATTACTTTTCATTCAACCCTCATACTCATATTTGCATGTTTTCTTGGTTGGCAGAAGATGGGGCTAACAGCAGAAGCTCACCCCACTCCCTAGATTCAAACCGCCAAACTTTTGTTCAGCAAATTCAGCAGCTCAGTGGTTTAACCGACTGTGCCAGCAGGGGCTCCTATGCACACTTACCTGGGAGTAAGTCCAATATAACTCAGTGGAACTTACATTGGAGTAAATACACAGTTGGCAATTACATGTGCTGGCCTCTTCTGTGTGGTTTTTGAATCCAACATGAGGTCTTTAGCAGTCACAGTTATGTGCCATTGATCAGACCCCGTCAAGAAACTGGATACCATTTGTGTTCCAAAGAAAACTGCTATTTCATAGTTGGTTCCATAATTATCTTAATGACACATTCCCTATGAGAAACAAGGATCGTTACTGGAGCTGAGATAGCTTTCCAGAACATGTCTGCTAGAGTTACCCAGGTGACAGCTCTGAAAATACCCTTCTGCTTGCTGTCATTATGACATCACTGCGGTATTTTTCCCCAGCTTCTGTTTATAAGCACAATTCTCTCTCATACGTGTGGTTCCCACTTCTCAAATAGTCCTGAATTATATTGGTCAATCCCCAAGCAGAGTAAATTTACTGAGTCAATCCATGGTGAGTCAAGACATAAGTAAAGTGTACTGAATGCACAGGACTGCTCTAGGTGGAACTGATGATGGAATTCAGGCCATTGTTATGAAAGGGGAAAGAGGAGGAAATATGCATCTTTGGGTGGATTGAGTAATAAAAGTAAAATGAATGTGTTTTATTATGTGCTTTCATATTGTTTCCGACTCTTGGCAACTCTAAAGGGGTTTCTGGGGCTGAGATTCTGTGATTCACCCAAAATCATCCAATGGATTTCTATGGCCAAACAGCAAATCAAATCCTGGTCCCCATAGTCATAGTACAATGCTCAAACTACTACATCAATATTTCTTAACCTGGGGGTCGCGACCCCTGGGGGGGAGTCTTAGGGACTGCCTCATTCCTTTTCTCCATCAGTGGTCACCTCGATCCACCCAGGAAAATCTCCTATACATACCGGGCCCTAGGGAGGTACACCTGGAAGCTATAAGGCGTAGAGCTTTTTCGACCTATGCTCCAATTCTGTGGAACTCATTGCCTCCATACATTAGAGCAATGTCGGAGTTGCAACCTTTTGTAAAGGCACTCAAGACTTGGCTGTTTGGTTGTGCATTTAAGTAATCAGATCTAATTTGCCAAATAGTCACTGTTGAATGTTTTATGTTGAATGTTTTTATATTGTGTAAATGCTATTTTAGATTGTAAGTCGCTCGGAGCACCTTGGTGGAGAGCGACTAATTAAGAAATAAAGTGAAGTGAAGTTAAGTAACGGTGCTCCACCATCAGAAAACACATGATGGCTTTAGGAACCCCTTTGGAAGAGAAGACTCCACCAATCCTTCTCTACCTTTTTGGAAACAGAGGGCAAAAAGCCCTCCTCCTGCTGTGATTCGCTGGCCTTTCAGCTGACCTCTCAGCTAAGGGGAGGGCTGTTTCACAGACTATAAGTGGGGAGGGGTGAGCTCTCTCCTAAATCACTATCAATTCCTCCCAAATCCCTCAGGTATTTTCTGTTGGTCATGGGAGTTCTGTGTGGGAAGTTTGACCCAATTCTATCATTGCTTTGAGTCCCTCTCAGGGTGAGAAAATTGCTATACAAATACAATAAATAAATAAATAAATAAATGCTCTTTGATTGTAGGTGAACTATAAATCCTAGCAACTACAACTCCCAAATGTCAAGGTCTATTTTCCCCAAACTCCACCAGTGTTCACATTTGGGCATATTGAGCCAAGTGTGGTCCAGATTCATCATTGTTTGAATCCACAGTGCTCTCTGGATGTAGGCTAACTACAACTCCCAAACCCAAGGTCAATGCCCACCAAACCCTTCCAGTATTTTCTTTGATCATGGGAGTTCTCTGTGCCAACTTTGGTTCAATTCCATTGTTGGTGGGGTTCATCTTTGATTGTAGGTTAACTCTAAATCCCAGCAACTATAACTCCCAAATGACAAAATCAATTCTGCCCCAACCTCACCAATATTCAAATTTGGGCATATTGGGTATTTGTGCCAAATTTGGTCCAGTGAATAAAAATACATCCTGCATATCAGATATTTACATTACAATTCATAAAAGTAGCAAAATTACAGTTATGAAGTAGCAACGAAAATAATGTTATGGTTGGGGGTCACCATAGCATGAGGAACTGTATTAAGGGGTCACAACATTAGAAAGGTTGACAAACACTGTACTACATGTATTGTAAAATTGGTCTATTCCTTTGCCAAAGGAAGCCTTTATTACTAGGTACAGTGCAGGCAACTTTCACAAATGGTTTCCAGTAGTGATGAAACAAACATTAGAAAATATAGTGCCACATACATGACTGTGAAGGGGGAATATTACAGAGATTGCCTCCCAGTTGTGTCACATTGTTTGACTTTGGTGTGTCATGAGCAAACCTAATGTGAAACTGTCAAGATGACATATTGGAGACTTGATATGATTGTTATGAGCATGCCAGGAGCTTTGCACAGTAATAAAGGCAAAAGACAAGGTCCCATCCATGTTACGTTCTGCATTTTGTGAGGAAAGGCAACAGGGAGACATGAGGAAGGAACAAGAAGGATATGCAAATATGTGCAAATGGATTCTGGGATATAGATTAATTTATTCAATGTATATCCTGCCTTTTTCCTTCCAATCTAGCCCAATTCCCTCCATATCTGCCAAACCTAAAGTTTACACCACATTACTAGCTAAAGAAGAAGTTGCATATTGCTTAATTTTGGTTTGCCAAAATTGCTCTTTGAGACATTTGGGTTTTTTTTCCACTGTCATATAATCCAGATTATCAAGATTGCCATATAA